GTAAATTTGAGGAAATACTGCTGTAGTTCCAAAAGTATTTATTCCAACACAAAACAGTAGCTACCATGTCCTCAAGATAAATGCAGAAAACTGTTCATCTGGGGCACTACATGAATCCATCTGAAGCCAAGCAACTCACTCTTGCCCTGAGGTCAAGAAGTGACAGCCCACACCACGAGCCCGTGCCAAGCACAGCATGGGAACAGAAATGGGTCAACCTCTCGTGCTCGTTCCTACAAGCCCTGCTGCCCACTGCGTCCTTTCTTCAGGGCTCCCTCGCCTTCCAGCGCGCACTTTCTGCTCACACAGCTCCTGTCTCCCAGAAGCCCCTTCCTCACAGTCCATGTAGGGGTGTCCCTGCCCAGCACTGCACCTTCTAACAGCCTGTGCCCTCCCTGCCAGCCCAGGCTGGGAGACTGCACCGCATGGTTGGCACAAGCCTACGCACTGTGAGGCACTCTCTTTCCTGAAACTCAGGAGGACAGGCATTTGCTGTAACTGGTTAGTAGAGAAGACAGAAAACAGAAGTGAATTTAAAATGAGCAGCCCATTAAAATTAATTTATAATAAACAACTAGCAAAGACATAAAATTAGAAGTCTTATCACAGCAAGCTTAGACTGCCACTGAAAATTTAAAAGGGAAGAAAATTTTATAATGAAATATGTGAGGGAATAAAGATTAAGCCTTTTCAATTTGTACAATTATATACACATTTTTTATTTCTCTTTTAGCTTTTTGGTACTGGGAATCAAACTCAGGGCCTCGGGCTTGCCAGGCAGGAGCTCTGCTGCTGAGCTACCACCTCGGCCCAATTAGTACAATTCTAAATGCTAGCATAAGCCTATAAAGTATTTTAGGTCAAGAAGTTATTAGTCTTTCTTCTTTGAGAGGGTCTCGCTATGTAATTCCAGTTCACCTTGAACTCACTAGGTAGCACCAGCTGGCTTCCACCTCTCAGCAATCTTCCTGCCTCAGCCTCCTGAGTGCTCAGACTACAAGTATGCACCACCACGCCTGGCACAGACGCTTCTGGAAATTAAACATGTGGGAGCTTGTGGGAGACTGCTGCTTAGCACACGTCCCTCAGGTAGGTGCTCAGGAGCAGGACACCCCCGATGGCAGTTTTATTTTCTAATCAAAAGAAAAATGCAGTTGTTTTTCATTTATGTCATAATAATTGGTTCATTTTATAAATGAGTATTCGTTCAATTCACTTCTTAGAGTAGGGTCTGTAACAGAAATGATTTTGTACCTTAAATCTTGGCAAATCTTATTTTTTGTAATTTATGTGGTACAGGGTCTCATTAAGCAGCTCAGACTTATAATGATTATCTTGTTTTCAGCCTCTGCAGTGCTGGAATTACAGGTGTACGCCGCCATGGTCTCTGTGGCTAGCTCAGCACACCCAGGGACAGGGATGCATGGCATGTGGTGCCGGGGATTGAACCCTGATTCCTGTGCTTGCCTAAGCAGGTGCTTAGTCCACTGAGCTATCTCGCCAGTGTGGGAAATCTTATTATAAGCTTAAGACACTGAGAAAGAACCTTCAAAGCAGAGCTCTCCTTAGTGTACACCTAAGAGTAAATTATTCAAGCTACCTAAAAAGTGTTCCAGTAGTGCGCAAATTGAAAAATATTATTTGGAAAGTCAAGTGCATCAACCAAGCTAATGACTATTGTCCGTAAAGCATAACACATCATTTATTTATTTATTTATTTATTTATTTAAGGGAAGGGTCTATAGGTTGTTCAGGGTCTCACTACTAGATTGGACTCATAGTGATCCACCTGTTTACAGCCTCCCAAGAGCTGGGATTACAGGCGTGCACCACCACATCCAGTCTCAATTGCTGTCTCAGTGCACCCTGGGGCAGGGCTGGCATGGCAGGCCTGGGGATGGAACCCCTGGTCCCTGAGCCTGCTTGCAGACGCTTTAATCCGCTGAGCTATTTGGCCGGCCCATAACATATCATTTAAATTCTGTTCAAACACGTAATCTCTTAGATTCTGAAATTAATAACCAAATCAGTAAAATTAAAAGATTTATGCAAACTATTCTAAAGACTAATATTGTATTTAATGCTAGTTATGATCTATTAAAATTAAATTCTTTCACATCACATATACACATGCAGTTTCTTTTCATTCGTGTGTAGCACTTATTCTCTAAGGAAGACCTTCACTGTGTACCTGCTCTGAAGAAAGGAAGAAAGAGGCAGAGGTGACTCTAGCTGCCAAGTTTTTTATATGAAACTTTACTAACCAAGTAATAATGCTATTCATTCAGTATTTTTCTATCCTGCACAAACTAATCCAGACAAAATCCACTACAATTTCAAGGGTTAGCCAAAATATACAGTACAAAGAAAAAAATTGGCCATGACCTGGTGATAGGTGTCTTCAAGTTTCAACAGGTTCCCTGAAAACCTTGCCATTCTCCAAAGCAAAGGCTTTCATGGCATTTTTTCTGAACTCTCAAACTACTTTTAAACAACTCAAAAATGTACATACCAACATATACAACTCAATCAGAGTATGAAAAATTTTGTTTATATACCTTCAAATAAATTTATATAGCTCCCACATGTCTAGCTGAGAAATATCAGTCTTCTGGCTTACACCCAGAAAGATAATTGTTTGAACAAATTGTTCGTCATCACACAATAAATAATAAAAATTCCGGAGTATCTTTTAATACAGGAATTTTACCTATTGTAAAACAGTGATTCCCAGTCCTATATCACAACAAATTAAAAGACAAAGTTATCTTTTGTTTATATCTTAAAGCACTATTGATTTTTGTATGCCATACTTGCTACTTGAAGGAAAGAAAACACCAAATGCTTAATGATGTCAGTGAGTTTTCAAGTAAAGAGTAAGTGGGTCTTCATTTAACATGTGTTTCCTTTCTTTAGAAATATCTAAAGTAAAAACTGTCTTTATTGAGATAAATTTGGCTTTGGCAGGCAATAAAGACTGTCTAACCGGCTGCTCTTTTGGTTTCCATCCTTGCAGAACTAGACAGATTCTACAGTGGGGAACAAACTTCACCTCAAAAGGTTGGAATATTTTATTAATCAGTTAATTCAATTAAAAAATGCTTTGAAAATTTTTTTAAAAGTGCTTTAGTCTGGATTAGTCAGAAAACTGATTTTATTACTATCTGTAACAAGAAATGAATAGAATTAAATTTTTTCTATATACATAGGAAAAATAGGGATTGTCCAACAATTTATGATTGGGGGAAATCCTCTTTAGAAAAGCAGTGTGTCAACATTGCTTGTAGATGGAGCTAAGAGCAGTACATTGCAGAACATAAAGAAAGAAAACTAAGGGAGAGAAAAAAAAAAGATGTGTAAGGGACAGGAAAAAAGTGTAATTAATTTGTAAATAAGGCTTTAAAATATTGTGTTTAAGAACTGACAATCAGTACCTTTTTAAATTTTCCTTGTCGTTTTGCTGTAGACTGCCCCTGGGAGTCAGAACGACATTCTGTAAGAAAACATGCACAATCTACACAGGATGGAGACACCACCTCGGTCCAAGTTTCTTTCAATTTCTATTCCACTGGCACGTGTCACAGTACTCAGAACAGTCAGGTCTGTGATCAAAAGGGCATGCTTTCAAAGAAAGCAACATGGCCACTTTAACTGCTTAAATGAGAATGAACTCAAATATGCTGTACTAAAATGTTTTTAGCTCTTTACCTAAAATACTTAAGTGATCAAACTCCCTTATTATGAAAACATTTTTTAAAGTTTTCAAATTTAGCTGACAGTCTGCAGAATCCCATTTCAAAGAATAGCATGACAATCACAAAAGCCTACACATTTTTTATATAAAGCATAAGGGTTATTGCGAAAGTCAGAGAGAAGTAAAATAGACAGATCCTCAACTACCAAAAATAAAAGGAATCCCAAACTAGCAGCGACAGAGTAAATAAACAATATAATGAAGATCAGAATGAACTAATAGCTTTAGTGCTCTCTTCTAAGAAAGTCTACTTTCTAACTATAGTTAACTATAATTAAACCCACTCATTTATTATCTAATTTCAAAATTGCCTCTGAAATAATACAGACAGCAAGAGCTATTTCTGAATTGCTAAAGCATACTTTTAATAGCAGTTTTTTTCTGTTAAACTTTTCACAAGGAGTCATTCTCATTTGGGTGAAAAACTTAGTTCTAGTCTTGCACCTAAACCAGCTATGATTCCCATATAAAGACCTCTACAAACAAAGATAGCTAGATTTCCTTAAATAATACATACACAAATTCCAGTATCAACCACTGACTTATTTCAAATTACACTAAAACCTACATGTACACGTAGAATAAACTGAGACTGAAGAAATGTCCTGCTAAACAAGTTTTCTAAGTACAAAATTCCCAAACTGTGCCTCAGTGACAATGAACCAAAGGTATTAACTCAACAGTGACAACAAATAAGTACATTTAGTGAAATCTATTCTTTGTGACAACTTTTATAGTTTCAGTATTAGGTAACAGATGAGCTCTCTAAGAACTCGAAGAATGACAACCTTTCAAGGTATGGAACTGAAACAATACCATGACAAAAGGTGACAGATCCACATAAATACCATTCCAATATATCTTAACAAAAACACACACAGGAAAAACTTGAGCAGATACCCATAGAGTTGTCATACTCATCTCTAAATTATTACAATCAGAAACTGTTTCTAAAAGAAAGCATAATTTTGAAACTGTGAAAGGAGCTATTTCATTTATATAGTTACGAAAGATTTTAATAAAAGAAAGGTCTGTACAAGTGTGAAAAAATTGTATGTCAGTAGTAATTGTTCTGGCTAGTATTTAGAAGCAATCCAAGATAATATGATTTATTTTTATATCCCTAATACTATGGTGGTTAAAATTCTAAAGTAGGCTGTAATTTAAAACATCTCATTTCCTTAAGCCAAGCTTAATTTGGACCTACATGTTTCATAAGAGACTCAAATATATCAGCCACTGAGCAGGGTTACCTTTAGGGCCTCAGGATGTAGGTGACAAAGAACATTAGGTATTTTAAAAATATAGACAACCAAATAATATTTCACCTTCTCTAGTAACTTATGGACTCAAGAACTACCCCGCAGTATCTTCTTTTACCCATTTCAACTGTGGAATTAATTTCCGCCTTTAAAGAAGTACAAACTTGGAAGGGGCTCTTCTGGTATAAAATGACAAATACTTACAGCTTTCTTGCCAAGCTCCGTCTTGGACAGTGTCAAGGATCCTGTGAGGTAGCACCCAGGTCCTGCCCCTTTAGGTATTCTAACAAAAAGAATTAAAGGGGGGAAGCGACAAAAGAGAAAGGTTCACAAAAACAATAAGGGAGAAACAGCAAATCACTCTCTATTTAAGTAATCCCCATGTTTATGATTTCAAAAATCGAAGAGAGATAACTTCACCCCAACATGGTAAAGGACAATATATTATTAATTTCCCTTTATGTAATGAGCTCACATATGAAAGACCACACTGTACTGATACAGGAATTAAGTTTCAGCGAGATCAGCACTTACTTATCATCAGGTAAGGAGGTAACAAAGAATGGCTGGTTATATTTGGGTGGTAATGTCAAACTGCTCGACTTCTTCTTTCCCAGCAGTGCAAGGCTATGATTTTCATGAATATCTAAGCTCAAGGTATTAGACAACCGATGAGAAACAATAAATGGAAGATCCTTCAGACGCTCCAAATCACTGATCTGCTCATGACGAATCTGCAGTCGAATCGTATAATCTCCTTTCTCCAATTTCAAAGAATACTGAAAAGGAAAAGGAACAGTTGGGAAAAATAAGTTAAATGAAATGACTGTAAGAGAACAAAGAGCAACAGCTCCATTTACACACTGCAAGACAGCACAGGTGACTACATACACATTTATGTAAACAGAGTCCCAGTCAGCTGCAAGCAAAGGGCACCAGGGATTCCAAGTGGCTCTTCAAGGTCAAAGAGTAAGTAAATGGGAGTTGAAGTCACATCTGACTCTGATAGAAGATGCCTGCATTCTTAGCTAAATCAGCTTGTGCTCAAGAATGATAAAAGCAACATGGTATGTGGGAAGCCATTAACTGGTATCCATTTTATAATAGTGTCAGCCGTTTTCTTAAAGTTTCTATTCCCCTGCTGAGTTAAGTTTATGGTCCTTCTCACCTTGCCCATTCCCCGTGAATCACGTGCTATGCCCCAGGGGTTGCACCTTCCCCATTGCCTAGATACCTGCTGACTCCCCTAGAGCCGAGACTTTCTCATTCCTATACCCCCTATATATACCCAGCACCTCCCCTGAATAAATGAGACTTGATCAGAATCCTGTCTTGTCTCCATTTCTCGTGTCTCCTGTCCTTTGTCCCCTCCTCAATTCCCTGCTCCTCTCCCACATGACCTTTGTTGACTGACCCGCTGGTTCGGGACAACGATGCATCCACTGACACTCAGAAACAAAGCAAAAAAGCAAAAGCCAAAAGCCTGGGCAAAAGTGAGGGCTGGATAACACGTAAGACAAACACGTGTACATATGACTGCCGGTCATTTTTCCATTGTAACCAAAATGTTCCACCTGTTTACTGTGAAGGAGAAACAGGAAGCCAGCACCGGTGGATCAGGAAGTATAAAAGCTGTTCTGACCCAGCTAGTTAACATGGTCTGAGAAGACTAAGTCATCCAAGTAGCTAGGCTGCACTAATCTAGTCAGTACTGAGACTAAACTGCTACTTGCCTTGAAACAAATACATAATTTCTTGAATGATGACTGAAAAAACCTCCATAAATTATTTTCATTACTCAGCATGAAATTACACGTTATTCTGTAATTTCAAGTATCTTATTCTGTGTGATATGATTTCAATTAGGGAGGAAACCTCTATCAGTTACATGATTACACGATTCTTTTTCATCCACTTGACAGCCAAACACAGCACAGTGCCTGGCATGTAGCAGGAGTGCAACACGGGTCTGATATGAAGAAGGACATCTGAAGGCCCTGCTCACCTTCCGCCAGTGCTCGAGTGGCCTCTTCACCCTATCTGGACGTGAGCCCCTTAGAGGTGCTCACATACTGCAGGGGACATGCTGGCCCCTTCCAAAGGGAAGCAGCGTGTAAGATCCTAAGCACAGCACAGGCTTAGTTCTGCCTTTCAATCTCCCAAAAAGCTACACTGGCCAACCAAGTGTCATCCTTTGTCTCCCTCTACTCTTCAACAGGATCACGTCAACTCCACTCTGTCAGAGTTGTCAAAGTCATCTGTGCCCCAACAACTACAAGATTTAAGGGAGTCTCTCGTGGTGTGCAAAAAAACTAGGTGCAAAACTGCTACCCTTAAAAAAACATAATTATTGCTATAATAAGAAATCAGATTTATTAGATCATGATATCGCTTCTGTGAATTCTAAAAAGAAAATCACTGTCAACTTCATACCTGATGTGGATAGGCATCACCTGAACCCATCTGTCTTTTGTTCTGGTCAAAAATAATCCACAGTTGGCTGTCAAATTCTGATTCATACAGCAATTCACACAGAAGTGGGCAGCTTGGAGTTACTTCTCCACTCTTGGGCTATATATATATATTTATAAAAGAATGATTATTTCATGTTGTTTACATATTTCTAATACAGATTTCTAAGATGTCCATTAAAAACTCTTACAGTTTTCTATAAAATGTTTGAAAATGCAGAACATCTAATACTTTGGCATCAATTAAAGGGACAGAAGTTTAAAACATCACAAATTTACGTTCATTAATAAAGTAATCTTCAGACCTCAAATTAACTTTATATATTTGAAACCTGAAGATGTGTTGAATTCTATCATCTCCTCCACACTCAAACCTGGCCAACGGCGGTTTCATCTAACTCCTGTGACGCCAGGCAAGCTGCCCATGGAGTGCACACACCAGCCCCAGGGACTTTCACCTGTCACTCCCTCAGGAGCTGTCTGCTTGCTCCTCCAACGCATCCCTTCACAGATGGGAATCCGGGCCAAAATCATGAGCGGAAAGGACGTGGCACACTGGGGCACTTAAGCCCCTGTCACCAGTGCCACTTACCACTGATTATATGAACTCAGGCTCCAAGGCCAAGCGACCACTAAACTACACCTTGAGACTTCACAAATGCTGATCTTTATTTTTTATTTTTTTCTCTGCAAAATATTCTCTTTATGTTTTAAAGCAAAAAATAAAACAAAATTTCAAAACAAGGTAATAGGATGGTAACAGTTAGTGCACTGCATATTGTTATTTTTAAATGTTAGAGTATAAGATATAGGCATTTAATAGTTCATATAATCACAAACCTTTATTTTCAATGTACTAAAAGGAATTAGTAGTATAACAACCTTAACTATGTTAGTTAATATATATATATATCTTCTCCCTTCTTTCCTTTCTTTCTCTCAAGTTCTTTTTCCTTTTGTACAGTTTCCTCCCATTAAACAAGATCTATTATACATTTTGGATTGTATTTACTCTTTCAGCTTCTCACACTAGGAAGACAGTATGGTGTTTGCAGATTGTAAAATATTCTTTTTCAAAAAAAAAATCTAAAACTCTTTTATTATTATTTATTTGGTGCAGGATCTCGCTACACAGCTCAGAATTGCAGTGACCCTGCTGTTTCAGTCTCCCCAGTGATGGCAGTATAGTCGTATACCACTGTGCCAGGTCTCAGTGGCTAGCAAGGTGTGTCAGGGGTTCCAGGGCTCACATGACGCTCCCTGGGTTCTAGCGCTGGCATGGCATGTGGTGCCGGGGATTGAACCCTGGTCCTTGCACTTTCCAGGCAGGTGCTTAGACCATTGAGCTATCTCCCCAACAAATGCTGGTCTTTAGATGATTAGCAATCGTAATCTCCTAAGAGAAATTTCAAATTAACCGATGGTCATACCTTGATTCCATTTTTTTTTTTTTTTTTTTTGCAGAACTGGGGATTGAACTCAGGCCTTTACGCTGGCCAGGGAAGCCCTTATTCCACTGAACCATTTCCCTGGGCTCCCTTGATTCCATTTTGTATAATATCATTTATAATATCCGTCCATTTCTGATTCTAGGACTCAGAAGCTCAGCATAATCAAAGTTCCTCATGGGCACTTTCCTTGGCACACATTTACCTGATGGAAGTTGTATGTCAGGACCATCTCATAAAGTTGACGGTTATTTGGCAAAACATCTCTTGATCCTAAAGGTTTTGTTTTTGCACTCACTGGGCTGTAACGAGGCAATTGCAAAGATGATTTGATTTAAAAGTTCATTTACTAAGACATTAAAGTATAAGGAATAAAAACCTACAATGCTACAAAAAGTGACAGCATTTCTGAAAACTTTATAGTATACTTTACAATATTCAAATCATTAACATATGTAATTCTTTACTGCCTGAATCATAGCAATAATAAAGCTGAAATTTTGCAATAAGCATTACAAAGGTAATCCTTTCATAAGACATTTTAACGTTGTGAATTCCAGCCAAAGGGTGACTATCAGGAACAGTGCTGAAGGCAGGCTATGGCCTGCATCTTCCCACCCCAACAACCAACAGCACAGCACAGCACAGCACAGCACAGCAGACCTGCAGCTCCCCATGTGCCAGGCCACAGCCAGCACCCATTCAGACCCAAGGATCAGCATTCCTCTCAGTAACTGCTGACTGCAAGTTACTAAGATGCAGACATTGACAAAGGAGAACACTGAGACTGGGAGAGTAAGTTTTTAGTGTCAAGACATCGGTAATGTTTATTAATCTACTCTACACTTGTAGTAATTTTTGAGACTTAGGAGAAAATATTAAGATGTATAAACTGGGAATAGACCCAGAGTGCAGGCCCAGCATGGGAGTGAGACGACCTGGGGCCCATGGGATCCTGAGCAGACAAGGTGCGCAGGCCCGTCGAGTGAGTGAGACAACCTGGGGCCTGCGGGATCCTGAATAGACCAGGAGCGCAGGCTCGGCAAGTGAGTGAGACCACCCGGGGGCCCACGGATCCTCGTTTGACCCAGAGTGCAGGGCAGGCCCAGCGCAGAACCCTTCAGCAGAACTCCCTGCAAAGAGGCTAGAGGCAAGACCCACCCAGCTGATTCAGGAGCAGAACATCTTGCCAGAGAGACACAAAGGGT